AGCAGACGCACAGACTCCAGCGGCAGCAGCAGGGTCGACCCGACGTCCACCAGATGGACCTGCAGCCGCAGAACACGCCCGGCGTCTGAAAGGCTGCCCCACACGGGCCAGCAGGCCGCCACCGGCAGCCAAACACGGGCAACGAGCATGGTCTGATCGGTGTCCAGGGCAGGTCCAGGTGAAACCGCACGGTCAAACAGCGCTGAGGTGGGTATGACTTTGCCGGTACGCGAGACAGCACAACTCCGTTCGTCTTGTCGTGGAGGGGGAGGGGAGGGCTGACCCGCCTGCAGCGGTGGCCGTGAGGACTGACCTTAACCTGTTCGGCGGCGCGGCCGAGCAGCAGGGCGCGCCGCCAGCCGGCCGGCGTGCGCGCCGCCAGCGGCCGGCCAGCCGTCAGCTGGTGATCGGCTGGCGGCGGCCGGCGGCCGGCGGTGCCGCCGTACGCGGCTGACATCTCCTCCTCGAGCCGGGCCAGCGTGGCCAGCGACGATGCCAGGCAGAAGTGGAACTCGCTCGGGGAGCGCACCTGTCGCCGCGGCCCGGTCAGTGTCGGTCCCGAGCCGCACGCCAACGCCGCACGACGCCGGTTCACGACGCTACGCTGTCAGCACGCTTAAGCTCATTCTTCACAGAACTGCGCGAGAGAGCAGTTCCAGCAAATCATGCAAATTCCATGCATAGCGAAACATCGCGAGGTGCGGCGCGGGTCAAGTCGCTGGTTCCCTCGCGCTGGCGGAACAGCTGAGCCGACAGCCTGCCAGCACAGCGGCGGCCGTCCCTCCCCCCCCCCCCCCCCCCATCCCGTCCAGCCTCTCACAACTGACAGCGCGCCGGTGTCAGCCCGCCCCGCGCCGGTGTCAGCCCGCCCCACGCCGGTGTCAGCCCGCCCCGCGCCGGTGTCAGCCTGCCCCGCGCCGGTGTCAGCCTGCCCCGCGCCGGTGTCAGCCCGCCTCGCGCCGGTCCGGCGGCTCCGACTCACGTGCGTGACGGCCACCTCCAGCAGCGGGTAGCCGGCCTCGGTGAGCACCTGCTCGCCGGCCTCGAGCAGCTGCAGCCGCTGGACGCTGAAGCGGCGCGGCGGCGGCTGCTCGACGCCGGCCCGCAGGCCGAGCAGCGGCGGCGGCCCGGCGGCGGCCGACTCCGCCTCGCCCGTCGGGTCAGGAGCCGCCTCTGTAACGGCCCAAGGGGCACCGCTGTGACCAGCGCCACCGAGGGCCACCCGCGCCGCCGACATGTGAGTACAGGTCGGAGGGAGCTGGCCGTGACCGGCGGAGCGTGAGGCCGGAGTGACGGCCCGGTTCGCACCACGCAGGGACACGAGCGTCGGAGGAAGACGCTACGGCCGTTTTGATCGGTGAGCCCGATGTGACCACGGCCATATCCACCGCAGTGCAGCTCGCAAGTCCCGTAAGTCAAGTCTTAGGTAAGCAGTCTCACAGCTGGCCGCAGCGCACCAGCGAGACCCGCTCCACTGAATCACAGGGTGCCTTGGTGCTCGATACCTCGAGCTCGCCGCTCCATCGTTCTAGGAGAGCTATCCATACCCAGCTCGTATCCCCATTACGAGTTAGCTGACCCGCCCTTCGCTTGACATGCACTCCCGCGGTACTTCGTACGCACTCTCGCGTCTGAAGTCTGCGTCTGAAGTCTACGTCTGAAGCACGCGACACAAACGTATTCGGGCCGCCACAAATACGCGACACAAACGTATCCGGACCGCCCCAAGCATGCGACACCACTGTATCCGGACCGCCCCAAGCATGCGACAACACTGTATCCGGACCGCTCCAAGCATGCGACAACACTGTATCCGGACCGCTCCAAGCATGCGACAACACTGCATCCGGACCGCCCCAAGCACACGACACAAACGTATCCGGATCGTCCTAAGCACGCGACACAAACGTATCCGGATCGTCCTAAGCACGCGACACAAACGTATCCGGACCGTCCTAAGCACGCGACACAAACAAATCCGGACCACCTGAAGCGCGCGACACAAGCGTGTTCGGAGCGCCTGAAGCCTGACCTGAGCCCGAGCAGGGCGCCGAGTCGTCGGCCGGCGCGGCCGCCCTGGCCGCCGTGGCGCCGCCTGGGCGCAGCGAGACGAACCACTCGTCGGCCCGCTTGGCCAGGTGGAACGGCGGCCCGAGCGACGCCAGCATACTCAGCACGCTGGTGAAGCCGCACTCGCTGATGTCCAGGTGGCGGCCGAATGCGCGCTGCGGGGGACACACCGCTCAGTGGAAGACGCCTCGGTAGTCGCTACCGCTGCCGGGCGCACTCCTACAGGCGCTGACGGCGCCCGGCTGATCGGGGCACAGGATGGCTGACAGCGCCCGGCTGATCGCGGTACAGGGTGGTTGGAGATCCACTCCCGAACGGGCCGATCTCACCAGCTCGGGACGTCTTCCACCTCGGCTCACGCTTGGGTCAACGTTCACGGGAGCTACCTGTACATACCGGCTCCTCCCGGCATCAAGAATCGCCTGTTCACTTTCACGTGGTACGGTCTTTAACTTTACAAATGGGAGATGGGTACCATGAAGTGCAGCATCACAGGCGATGAAATGTAAATTTGTTCATGAACATAGCTTGAGAGAGGGAATTAGTGATGTGACTTTGTTTGGGAGACGTGAGTACGTAGGTTACAGTGGAACTGAAGGCTCCAAAGTGTAATTAAAGATCAAATCACCGTGAGCGGATTATCCAATTCTCAATGGAGGGACAGAAAAATATTTCTTTAATAATCCTCAATCTCGCGGGTTTCACACAAAAACCTGGCTTCTAATAGCATGGATCCTAGTGAGTCAGCCGGATGAACCACAATCCAGCAATCATAACCATTCGGTAAGCTGGACATCTGCTCCCTCTCAGGTGTCACTATCATTAACTTGAGTGTTTTAGGAAAATTTTGGGCAGATTCTAACGTTTTTGCCAAGTTCAGGATAAACCAGATATGACTTAAAGGGAGTGTTACACGTTTGTGCGAGTTATGAACTCAATTCGTCATCTTGAGGATCATTTCTTGCAGTTTACAGTCCTGCCCTTCTTCGAGACCTAAACCCCTTTGATTTATGAACTAGACGCGCGCGAAGATGTGCAGATTATTTTGGGGAGGGGTGAGTACGTCAAGGTCACTCAGGCATTCATAGCGCCATAATGCCGTCATTCAAATTTGCCATGCCATTAGCCATGCGGCGGTCAAAGCCCCCAAACATAATTGTCGAGTCGTTCATATCTGACGTTCGCGAACGCGATTTCCAGATAAAAACGCCGGTCAATTGGCTCTCAGTCCATGTTGTGCAAAATACGACGAAGTATCAGACAATGGCGTACTGAGAAGCATATCTATTAGCACCCGTTCGGGTGGGGTGGGGTGTCAAATTGAACCCCGAAGGTTTTTTCCAGAATGGTTCCCGAACGGCGCGGCGTAGCCACGCCAAATTTAGCATAGCTGTGGACAATTGAAGCGGATTATTTGGCCTCATAAATTTAGATGTACCTCGTAAGGTCGCTGACCTATGGCAGGTCAAAGTTAGGCCATGGCTTCAGCGAAGTCAATTCTAGGGAATCGTTCATTCTGATGCAACAACGAAGTGGTAGACGAAGCCGCACATCTCTGAGATGCTTTCCTAAGCGACACAAATATTGAGTGAGCAAATATCGTTGACCTAAGGCCACGTATGAAGGTCAGACCAAAGTTAAAACCGACCTGTTTTATTGCTTTAGGGCTCGCTGTATGGGATAGTTGCTCGTGCTCATTTCAAAGTTATTGATGGCCGGAAACGCACTACGCATTTTCCACGAGCTTCCTAGGGGTCGTTGTAGGTCACTGACCTAAAACAACCCAGGTCAACATCTTGTTTTTAGAGACATGTCTAGCGTTAACTTTGTCTCTTATTCAAATGCACAACTCAGAGCAGCACCATGACCTTCAAAAGGTCAAACAAGGTCACTGACTTTAAATGAGCATGCGAAGTTTTGCTTAGAAATAGTTGTCTCGGTTCTGGGGTACTTTGGAGACCAGCCCGGAATCTGACCTTGTTTGACCGTATTTGACCCAAAGGTCGCGACCTAGGAACCTCAAAATTGACCCAAGTGAGTTTACGTAAAGGTCAACACACCCTATCGATTTGGTGCCTCTAGCTCTCTTAGTTCCAGATATCTCAGGGGAGGGGGGCAAACTGATCCTCCCCCACCCGAGCGAAGGGTATCTAGCCGGCCACGCGGGCGCGTGTTAAACAGAGAAGTCGTATTGTCTAGAGCAGTCCTTTCTGCTGAAAAGTGTTTCAATGGTTAAAGGTGAGCTTATTCCATCATATCTGACGTCTGCTTCAATATCTCCAAATGTGCAACAATCCCGTAAGTTCATGCATTCCATAGGAATGTGTTTTCGACAGAGGGCATTTAGCCGCGGCGTCTAGCATGTGCATGGAGTATACTGAAGTGCAGCTGCAGACGCAAACAACCGGCTCCAAAGCCACGCATCGCTGGACATGTTACGGACGCGAGGCCCGCCAACAAGAGGCAACAGGCGGCAGCACCTGACCCTCGAGAGCGCTTGGTACCGCGGAGGACACCGGGCGGACCGGCATGCGTCAGAGCGGCCGGAGAGGACCGGTCCGCCGGCCGCGCCCGGGCCCGGCCGGGACGGAGGCCGACCTTCCCGGCGGCTGGCTGCGTCGGACGGGAGCACTGACCCGGGCCGCGCCGGGCCGCGTCCGCACCGGCCGGCAGAGCGGCGGCCGCCGCACCGGCCAGAGGACCGCGGAGGATACTCTCCGCGCCGCCATGCCCACACGTGAGTCCCGCAGTGAGCGCGCCCGTGCCGTGTGTTCGTGCGGCGGGTGCGGCCGTGTCCGGGACGGCGCCAGCGGCAGGCGGCCTGGGTACCGGCGCAGCTCGCGACTGCCGGGGCAGCGGGGTCGGACTGCGCGGAAATCCCTACGATCGCAGCGCTCTTTTTCAGCGTCCCTATCCACGTTCCAATGGTGATGAGGAAGAACCATACGTACGACTGAGCGTTCGCACTACATGAATCGTCTAGTTCTGTATCAAGTGTCGACTCTGAAGTGGTTAATAGTGCTGGGCGTGGCTGTCCTGTTGACCTCTACGTTTACAAAGTTATGTTTCTTACCATCATATTTCGCACCGTTCTGATCTATAGCCATTCCTTCTGTGACTAGTGGTCAACTGATCCGTGCGAACCGGACATATCAATGCCACAGCTGCATATGTGAACCAGACACCGCCCCCACCGTCGCGTGCTGGCGTGACCCGGACCGCGCGTGGATGTCCCGCGTGCGCCGGCGGTGCGGTCGCCGCCAGTCGGCGGTCGTCTGACCCCTGACCCCGCCGCAGCGTCGTTGCTGCAGCCGCACCTGCGGGAGCCGCTGGCCGCCTGCCTGCTGCTGCTGCTGCTGGCCACCAGCGGACTGCTCGGTCAGTGCGCAGCCCGGCCGGGCGGCCGTACCGCGCGGCGCCACCAGACGCGGCCGGCCGTGTAGCGTCAGTCACTTCATGCTGTTATGCCGTCCGAATCCGCCCATGACGCATAGCATGGCACTCATGGAGCTTCATCCCGCCGTAGCGTTTTGAACTTGGCCACGTGGCGGTCGCGTTCCCGTTCGTGGTTTATAGCCACTGATGGCACGTTTCGTATCCAGTGTAACCGGCGCATCGGCGTCGCTGGGTGGTCACGCTGCCAGACCAGACCGTGCGCGGGGCGAGGGAGCGCGGCCACGTGCGCTGCCGGGGACCCCTGGCCCGCCGTGTGTCGGCCCGTGCGCCCACACGCCTGCGTGCCACTGACGCGAGGCGATCCGGCGGGTGCCTGGGGGACGTGTGCAGACGGCCCCGTCCCGCTTCCAGACGGGCCGTGGCAGGCTGGCCGGGACCAGGCCGACCCGCGCCTGCTGCACGAGATCCAGCGCCGGCTCGAGCCGCCCTCCCGGCTGCCCTACAACCTCAGCTACCCGCGGCGCGTCCGCTGGGGCCAGTCGCACCAGGTGTACGTCATCCAGGCGCTCACCAGGAACAAGGTGAGACGCCACGGCGCCGCCCGACGGCTGACCGGTCGGGGTGCGCGTGGCCACGGGCGCACGTGGCTCAGGGCTCGCGGGGCTCGAGACGTGCGGAGCTAGGGGCGCGCGGAGCTCGGAGTGCGCGGAGCTCGAGGCGGTACGCTGCGGCGTCCTTAGCTCTCGCTTCTGCTCCTCACTCGGCGAAAATCCAGGCTATCGTCGCACCGGCACTGCTCTGACAAACCGTTCGCCTTCTGGCCCCTCCCCCATTGCCGTGAGGTTGCCTGCCGAGTGTGTCCGCCTGGCTGCCGCGTGCGCCACCCTGGCCGCTGCCCCTCCCTCCTCCCCGTCGCGCGGTCACCCGCTCACCCGGCGCCGGCGGTCGGCAGACGGGCGGCTTCTTCGTCGAGTCGGGCGCCTACGACGGCGAGCACATGACCAACTCGCTGCTGCTGGAGCGCACGTTCGGCTGGAGCGGCGTGCTGATCGAGCCGGCCGGCTCCATCGTGCCCGCACTCCGAGCCAAGCGTCGCAAGGCCTGGGTCCTGCAGGCCTGCCTCAGTCACCTCGACACGGACCTCAAGGTACCACCGGCCGGTTCGAGGGGCGGGGCGATGCTCCTCTCGTCCCCCAAGCGATGGGAAACAGAGCTCTCTCTCTGACTTTGGTCTCAGCACGTGTCCACTGAGACGGCAGCACTCAGTCGACCCCATTATTTTCCCACACGACGATGGGTGAACAGCGTCATTTTCCCAACGTCAGCGTTTTGACGACCAACTGGTGTCAACTCACATGGGCCGACCGGCCGGAGTGAAACTGGCTGACACGGCGTCCCGTCTGACGAAGCGTCCCGTCTGACGGAGTGCCCCCTCTGACGGAGTGTCCCCTCTGACGGAGTGTCCCCTCTGACGAAGTGTCCCCTCTGACGGAGTGTCCCCTCCGACGGAGCGTCCCGTCTGACGAAGTGTCCCCTCTGACGAAGTGTCCCGTCTGACGAAGTGTCCCGTCTGGCGTGATGTCCCGTCTGACGAAGTGTCCCGTCTGACGGAGTGTCCCCTCTGACGAAGTGTCCCCTCTGACGAAGTGTCCCGTCTAACGTGATGTTCCGTCTGACGAAGTGTCCCGTCCGACGAAGTGTCCCGTCTGATGGAGTGTCCCGTCTGACGTGATGTTCCGGCTGACATGGCGTCCCACTGCGCCGGCAGGCCATGTTCCGCGACGAGAAGAAGTGGGGCCTGACGACGGTGGAGGATGGCATGACGGCCGAGCGGCTGTCGGACCTGGCGCGCCAGCAGACGCACCCCAACAAGCTGGGCGACCGCTACCCAGTGCCATGCTACCCGCTGTACTCGATCCTGCTGGCGCTCGGCCGCACCAGCGTCGACTTCCTCAGCCTGGACGTGGAAGGCACCGAGATGGGCATCCTAGCGCACGTGCCCTGGCATCTGGTGGACATCAAGGTGAGGGTCTGGCGCGGCCCAGCAGAGGGCCGGCGCGGCCCAGCAGTGCCGCCAGCGGAAGGCCGCACTGGCGCACTCTCGCCGCCAGCGTGGCGCCGGGCTAGGAGCGGGTGTTGCCGCACGGGGTCCAGGACTGACGGCGCGACGGAGAGCAACGCGAGTTCCTGGTTGTAAAGCCCAGGGCGGTTGCTTCACGCCACAAACAGCGGCGGGCTTTTGTGTCGCAGCGACGACGGGCGCCGATGTGGGCGTGGTCCACCACCCTTGTTGACATGTTGATCAATGATAATTGTCACGCCGATCAACGGCGGTGCTGGAACGACTTCGGTATCCCGCCACTATCCCCTTCCCCTCTTTGACTTGTTACGAAGGAGGACGAGTTCTTGTTGGGTGCGTTGCAGCCAGCAGGGACATCCATGTGCCAACGGCGTCCGTGCAGCCCACAATAACGACCAGCGGGAGCTACGTTGTAGCCTACAGCCGCCAGCTACCTCATACGCGGCCGCTGTCGAGCCACCGTCACGATCAGCCCAAGCGCACGGGCGGCCGGCCTAACCCCATGCGTGGCCGCCTCCGCAGATCCTGCTGGTGGAGAACTTCATGACGTACCTGTGGAACCCGCAGACCGACATGATGCGCTGGTTCATGGAGTCCAGGGGCTACCTGGCCATGCGGCTGCAGCACGATTGGCTGTTCGTGCGGCGCGATTGCGAGTACGCCGCCGACGCCGCCGATATCGTGCGCCGCGCGCGCCGTCACATCGCCAAGCTGCCGGACTCCACGGCCACCGACCCCTTTAACGACTGAGCGGGCCGCGGGACAGCGGCAGCGCGGCGCGGCGCGGCCGACAGAGGCTGTCGACACTCAGGGACGAACTGACACGACCTCAGGGAGCTCAGGGACCGGCGGGTGAGAGAGGGACCTCAGGGACCGACGGGTTGAGTGAGGACCTCAGGGACCGGCGGAGTGCGGCAGGGACCTCGGGGACTGGAGTGGGGGAAAGGACATCGAGCAGCGGCGCGGTGCGGCGCCGGAGCGGGCTGTGCGGCGAGCATGCCACGAGCTCGCCAGGCGCTGCTGAATAGTACCCGTGAGCGAGGGCGGCGGCCGCCGCGGTCGAACTTGTTTTCTGGGCTGAGGCGCGGCCCCGATGCCAGCCGTGATGTGCTTCGAGGAGGCTCGCAGACAGTGGATACAGTGCTGCATACCGCGACCGAACAGCCTGTCGGTCTGAGCCTTGACAGCGTATGCAAGCGGCGCATGTACCGTCTTTCCCTTCACTTGTCAAACCCATAATCACGCTGGCTTGCCCATTGCGCCCGCGCTCTTAGTGAAATGCATACAGCTGCCTTGCCAAAATACACGACGCCACCCAGAGTGAATAAGGAATTGCTTCAAATCTACCTGAAAAGACGGAATGAATCGCAGCGCAGGAAACGTGAGAACGACATGAACATCGAAAGCCGAGATGTCAAAATATAAACCATAGTATATTCAGCTGCCGATATCGATCCAACACAGACACCGGCCTAAAGGGATGAGCGCCGGCTTTGGATCGGTCACGACTATGCGGTAGGCAGTCACGTTTTTGTGTTGCTGGTCCGGTTGTGACAACGACTTCCAAGGAGCATAATAAACGACAAAATAATGACAACCCAGGGGGTGAAGCCGCAAGAGCAGCGGCTGCTCACCGCCGCACCAGGGACTCTGTAAGGCCCAGGTGAGATGTGTCAGCGCCTGGATAGCAGCAGCGTCTACGGAGCAAGTGCTAGCGGTGTTGGACCGGCACCCGGCCTGACAGTGGCCACAGTCGGCCGACACGGGCGCCTGTCTGGCTGCAACTTTGGCTATCTCCACGCTGCCAGTGCTCCGCACGAACGCTCTGAGCGCGGCACTGGCTACCTCCGAGTGTGGCATAACACTGGTGGTCTATCTGCCGCAGCTGGACCTCCGCCAATCACGCCGCTTGATCTCTTCATGGAATTTCGATGCTGGTAGGCCGGTTTTGTTACACATGCAATGGGCGAAGATCCATCATTTCACCTCCAGACGAAAACGTATCTCTCGCTCGCTTCTCGCTCTCTCTCTCCTCTCTCTTCTCTCTCTCTCTCTCTCTATCTCTCTCTCTCTCTCCTCTCTCTCTCTCCTCTCTCTCTCTCTCTCTCTCTCTCTGCTCTCTCTCCTCTCTCTCTCTCTCTCTCTCTGCTCTCGCTCTCGCTCTCGCCCCTCTCGCTCTCGCTCTCGCTCTCGCTCTCGCTCTCGCTCTCGCTCTCGCTCTCGCTCTCGCTCTCGCTCAGCTCTCGCTCTCGCTCTCGCTCTCGCTCTCGCTCTCTCAAGACGAATCCTTCAAAGAGAGGAACGAGCTGCGCTCCAAGAACACATCACAAGAACACGTAACTACCAAAGAACACAGCACTACCCAGCCGAGCAGCTCTACCGGGCCGCAGGTGGCGGCGGCCGTGCGCTCGCCGGGTGCTGGTACTCACCCTGTACACCTCCAGGAGGTCGCACACCCTGATGGCGCCCTTCTGCTCGGCTAGCACTATCTGCAGGCTGTGGGTCAGGTTGCGCACCGAGTCCTCATCTGGAACAGGCGCCCGCGTCACAGGACGAACAAGCCCCGGCTGCCGGTGGTGGGCGCCATGACAGGAGTTGTCGCCGGCACAGGCTTCCACGGGCGGTGTCGTAAGCACAGGCTCCCACTGGCTGTGTCGCCGGCACAGGCTCCCACTAGCGGTGTCGCTGGCACAGGCTCCCACTGGCGGTGTCGCCGATACAGGCCTCCACGGGCGGTGTCGTAAGCACAGGCTCCCACTGGCTGTGTCGCCGGCACAGGCTCCCACTGGCGGTGTCGCTGGCACAGGCTCCCACTGGCGGTGTCGCCGGCACAGGCTTCCACGGGCGGTGTCGTAAGCACAGGCTCCCACTGGCTGTGTCGCCGGCACAGGCTCCCACTGGCGGTGTCGCCAGCACAGGCTCCCACTGGCTGTGTCGCTGGCACAGGCTCCCACTAGCGGTGTCGCCAGCGCAGGCTCCCACTGGCTGTGTCGCCGGCACAGGCTCCCACTGGCTGTGTCGCTGGCATAGGCTCTCACTGGCTGTGTCGCCGGCACAGGCTCCCACTGGCGGTGTCGCCAGCACAGGCTCCCACTGGCTGTGTCGCTGGCACAGGCTCCCACTGGCTGTGTCGCCGGCACAGGCTCCCACTGGCGGTGTCGCCAGCACAGGCTCTCACTGGCTGCGTCGCCGGCACAGGCTCCCACGGGCGGTGTCGCCAGCACAGGCTCCCACGGGCGGTGTCGCCAGCACAGGCTTTCACTGGCTGTGTCGCCGGCACAAGCTCCAACTGGCTGTGTCGCGTCCGCTACCCAGTTACTGCGGCCAATCCAACGTCGCTGACCTTGCACATCCGGTGGTATCTATACTCACAGCGCTCCGTTTGCCAACCGTTCTGGTTTATCTACCGCTGTCAAACTGACCTTCACATCGTGAAGAACATAACCCTTGATAGCGTAAATATAGGTCATTCTGCATGGATACAGTTGTCAGCAATTAGTGACAGGGTCAACTTATCAAAAACTAGCCCTGCATATGAATCCGCCCCCCCCCCCCCTTATATGCCGCCCCGCGACTCCCGCGGAGCGGCATATGGGGGGGGGGGGGGAAATTCAAGACCGATGTCGGCTGCGGCTGCCGTTTCGTGGAGGAGAGGCCGTTTTCCCCACCTGTCGAGGGGAAAGAGGGGGGCACCGGGCCGCCTGTCCGCGGGGATGGGGCGGGGGGGGGGGGGGCAGGAAGGGACGAGGGAGGCAGCCTGCTTCATGGCCCCACAGTCGGATCAGCTCGGTTCAGTCGAGCTCACGCCCAGCGTCTGGACGCGGCCTCTACACCCGAACCTGTGCGCCGTCGCGGCCGCCCGCCGCCGGCGTACTCACAGGTGAGGAAGGCGGGTGTCGGCTCGGCGGCCTCCGTCGGCTGGGCCGGCCGCGGGGCTGGCGCCCTGTCGGCGGCGGCCGGCGGTACGGCTGTCCCCGCTGCCGGCGGAGGCGGTCCGCATCAGACGCGCACTCAGCGCCACAGACCCAACCACACGCCACCACCAACAGAGCCGGGCGGGCCACAGCCGAGCCGCAGCCGGACAAACTGCCATCAGACGAACACAGCCAGAGCAGACAGCACAGGCAGGCTGGAATGAGCCCGACACGGCTGGACAGGGCCCGACAGCTCGAGCAGCGCTCGTACAACCGAAAGCAGCGGTGTCCGTCGCCCACTACTTCGGATCGCGAAGTGACACGTCATGCTCTAATGAGCGCGGATGTGACGATCCGCCCCCCTACCTGGGGATGGCACAGGAAACACCTTGTCCCCGGTGGGCGTCTGCTTGAGCCGCACCAGATGCCCCACCGATTCGAGCATTCCTCGCACCGAGTAGAAGCCCATTCCCACGTACGGAATGGCGCATCCGAACATGTCCTTGTGCTTGGCGTTGAATTCGTCTAAATGGATGCCCTGTAAACAAAAACTCCACGGCCTCAGCACACTGACAGTCTTTGCCGACCGCTTGCATATTGCAACGCGAGCATGGGGCGCACAACGCCAGGGACACAGTACCACGCTCGCCAGGCAATGAGGGCAGAGGCAGCAGAGGTGGCAGGGGGCTCTACCTGCGGGTTCTGGGCTACCAGCCGCAGCACGGTATCCCGGGCCTGGGTAGGCAGGCAGGCAGGCGCGCGCGGCCGCGCCACCATCTTGGCGGTGGCGGCGCTTGACTTGGGCTTGCGGCTGCGCTCCACCATCCTGAGCACGTGGCTGGTGCTCTCGTCACAGATGGGGCGCAGGTGGAGTCCACCAGTGGGCAGTCGCTGGCACTGGCAAACATCTGTGGCATCCAGCAGGAACTCCTCCACAGACTGGAAGCCCATCCGCCAGTAGGGGATGGCCGAGTTGGTCAGCTGCCTGCAGGACACATTTGGATAGGATCATGAGCATGCAGGTCATGATGATGAAAACAAACTGATGTGGGAGAGGTGAGCCAGTTCACCTGATGGGAAGTATGCAGAAAAGATGGCAGATTCTGTTTGCATAAGGTGGGCAGATTCATGTTAAGTAAAGCACACAGTGTGGATGGCAGGAACTGTTGGCCTGACAAAAGAGGGAAATTACAGCACAATTAAAAGAATACATTGCTGCTTACCTGTATATTTTGAGAAAGCTCTTCAGAGCCATACCACCTGATTCAGTGATAAGAACAGACCTAACATCCTTCTTTATTGCATCTATTAACTCTTTTTGAGATGATGTCATCTTGAAAATCACATCCCTGCAAAGCAAGAGCAAATGAGAATTAATTAAATGATACTAACACACTCCAACAATGGATCATACCTTCACATATGCTGTGTAGAATGTGTTGTTACATCACATAATTTACACAATATATCCACCATATATCCTACATCCTGTATCTTGAGTGAAGGAAGATCATAACCCAGCTGTAGCCATACTAGCTGTAGTGTTGTTTCCATGGTTTGTTCCCACCCCTCCTCACCAAGACACCCTTTTGGTGACATCACTGTTAGTCATGCATCATTATAACTTGTGATACAAATAGGTGCAATTCCTGGATGGATTGGACATTACCAGAGCTATTTTGAAACTCTGCACTACAAATTATATTGAAATGCATAAAATTAATTTACTTTGAATGCCTTTAAACACTGAGTCCAAGTGGTGTTGCAATGCCTTCATTGCATGTACCTGGTGATTGTTTTCACAGCAAGATGTCTTTAGATGTCTTTGATTTCAAAATGTACACTCAAGGCTGCAGGTGCAAGATGTCAAAGTGCACATCACAGTAAACACCAGAAGCAGATTTCAAAGCCAAACACCAAATAAAATAATAACCCTTTGCAAGATGTACATCAAGTAACTCCCGCAGTTTCGTCATGCTGAACCGTCGTCCCTTGGAAACCCAGTCCACCACCCATGAGATACTCCCTAGGCTACAGGTACTGCAGGATTCCAAATTTCACCCAGTTAGCTGTCAAGGATGTCATTGTAAATTCATGCCACCCAACATCCAGCTTCTTGACTACCTCCATGCATCATAAGTATCTTCGAAGCACACAGAGCACTTACGGTGTCCTTTACCGGTGTTGTTTACCTTCCGGCCGACAATGTTTACGAAGAATGTCGGCTTAGGTCTGTAATGAGGACCGGCTAATCAGCTGACGACACGTCGCTGCCAGTCATGACCTAGCAGCCTTAAATTTTGACGCAAGTGAGTTCACATACAGGCCAACACACCCTGAGTTTTGTGCTTCTATCTCGCAGGGAGTCAAACTGACCCCCACCGCAGCGAATGAAATTCAGCCGTCCACGCGAGTGCGTGTCAAGACCTGTAGACCTCGATTAAACTAAAGCGGCTGAAGACCCTTTAGATCCTGGCCTGGCAAGGGAGGGACTGCAAGGACGACAAAAACTGTGGCCAACCCCATGCTCCGAGGCTACAGCGCCCACCAACATAACAACTTCACCATTTGATGCCGCTTGGTCCATAACCTGTTCTTTCCAGAACATAGCGACCTTGGGGTCAGATCAAATGAAACCAAAAAATGTTCGAAAAACGGGTAAACCCGTTTGCAAACGACCCCCTACCTATGAAATAACCCCGCGCCTATGGGACTGACCGGCACAAAGCCATAATTTCAGCACTGGGGTATACGATGCAATTGGTCGCAGAGGCTCTATGGCGTCGCCTGCCTCTAACCCAAGCAGGAAAGGCGGGCACCGCGGGGAGCCGAACCCCGTACCTCTGGTTTCCCAGACGCTCGAATGGGCACGGAGTGTTTGGGACTACAGCCCTTTCGACCAGCAGTGATCATTCTAGGGCTATCGAAAAATCGATATCGGATAATGTTGGGTCAGAACTATGTAGGCATGGGAGTGGGGGGGGGGGGGGGCAGTCGCCGGGCCTTATCCTGAGCAGGGACTCCCCTGGGGCGGGGGCGTACGATGGGCGCGCGATCGGGGCCCCCTCCACGGGGCCTCCCGGCCCACCCGTGGCAGGCGCACGCAGCATACCCCGGACAGGCAAGCCGTCACGAGGATTTACGATAAAGTGAGAAGGAGGATACGATTGTCTTATGGCACAAATCCTAGCTTTGTCGATGCGCAATATCCCCTAGCTGTAAGGCAATTGCCATGGCAATAGAAACAACAGTGGTCGGTACGTGCCACGACTGCTGACCCTTGCCGGACTATTTTGACGTCAATCGGTAGGGTCGTAATTCATATACAAAATCTGAATACTCCCTGCGTGGCTGAAAGGATACCAGAAATGCCAAAATTTTGCTCAAGCATTTCTTGAAGTTTTATACTCTGCATGATTCTGATCAAGACATCATATATTGGTGATATGGTAGCAATGGGTCGTCCTTATCACTGTTTTGTGGCGGGAGGCACTGTGAAGTCTTCGGGCTGGGAGCGCACTGAAGAGGTTTAGGACGGAATCTGCGTCCGTGCGTTCGGGGCTCTCTGTATTCAAAGTACTTGCTAATTGGGGAAAGTGGGGGAAACTCCACCGAGTGTTAACGCCATGGACGGGGGAGCCGATCGAAAGAGAGCTGTGATGACGGGTATTTCGTACGCCATTGACAAAGAAGCAGCTGGAGACGATCAGGTAGGTGGTTGAACCTTGCGTGGGACAGCAAAAGGTTCCAGGGGTGCCATGTTCCCCTATCAGTTGGGTACAGCATCTCCTGCCTCACAACTTGGAAAATATGGGTCAAATTTTGGTAGATACTAGTGATGAGTTTTAGAGGTAGACTTTGGGTAGTTTGCTCTGATTTGTCCCTCCCTTAACTTCGTGGGTATTTTGCAAAATTAACCACACCACTGGCTGAAAGGTAGGCAGAACACAGGGGTTTTCATTTAAAACACATTGGACACATCTTTTGAAAAGATTGTTTACAGACAACCCTTTAAACATGAACACATGTTTCTAAATTCAGGTATGACCCTTAACTGAATAGCAGGTAGTATCCTGCAAATTGTGTGTGTAGTATCAGGGCATGTTTGTGGAGGTCGAGTTGTCTCCTTCCCAGGTTACAATGATGGTATTGAAGACACCAATCTCAATGTCCTGCAATTTAAACATTTCTAGCCAATTGTGCATGTTTGGTGTATTGTTAGTATTACTGCATTTTAAAATTTACATTTCAAGCATAATGCTTAATTAACATTGCAAGTCTGAGGATATATTCCTCATTACATAATGCTATTTATTTATCCTCTCCTAATCTGCAAACCATATCAAATATGTCAACAAGTTGTTGTGGACAGATATAACCGTGCCTCAAATCACACAAATGTCATCTTACCTGTTTTCTAATTTTATAAAGCACATAATATTCTTGATAGTTCAATGCAATAACATTTCCCTAGTTTCTTGAAAGGCAGCCCCAAAATTGGAAGTTGTGCCTCTATCCCAAGATTCTGTTAAGATCTGTCATGCCTAGTTGACCATGCTGGCTGTTTTTTATAGACTCAAATGCAATTTTTGAATGCCTAGGCACCTTTGTCATGATTCAACTCACACTGGGCCACCTCATGCCAGTCCACAAACTCAGTCTACTGTGCCTGACATCTATATGACGTCATTGAGCTAACCCTGATGGTTTCATGAATTTACAGCCAAAATGTACTCAGATTTTTTCTGATGAGATTATGGTAACAGCATCATTCCTAGAGGCATTGGTTGTTACTCACTGAAAATGTAGGTGACCATGTGCCAAACTCAAATTTACTGTGTACATGGACTGACTTGGCTGTTGTGATGTGGCTGCTATGCATATGCAGCATGACATGTATTTTGCTGCAGCTTGGATGTCAATACGGCATTCTAGACCAGGATTGACACAGTTCAACCAGTCAGTAGCTCAGAGTGTGTCCAACAGGGCAAGTGACAACTGATATTTTGAATATCATACTGCATCAAGTATGGTTTATTCAAGGTCAAGGTTTGAGTCACTTAGCTTGTGAGTAGTTTTATATAAGGATTGAGATGAGCTAGTAGAGCAGTTGTTCAGGCTGTCATCCTTGTCTTGTTGTGGTATACATGCAACATTCCAGCCTGGGAACTCACCAGCCACCATCATGTGCTATGGGATCATCACAATGACTGGAAAATGCTCAGCTTTCAGCCCTGTACACATCATGGCTGAATGCTCAACTTATAACTGCTGGAGTTGCTGGGATTCTGATTCTGACAGCTGGGGAAGTAGAAATGGGAACAGCAAGATCAGACCTGTGCATGTTGTTGAGTCATGAGTCAAGATTCTGGGCAGAGCTTTTTGTGCATCAAATGGATCACAGCAGGCTTTGAAATGAAATCAGGCCTCTTGTTTTATCAGCTAATTACCATTAATTACCAACTCCTTAATTACCCCATTTGTTAAATCACCCACACCACCACCCACTTCTTGTTTTAAACCAGGCATAAGGCCTGGTTTACCAAGGTATCTAAACCAGATGTACCTGATAAGGTTGCTGACCTATGACAGGTCAAAGTCAGGCTGTGGCTGTTGGCAAAGGCAATATGTAGAGAATTGTTCAATCTGGTGTGGCAGGAGGGCATTGGACAAAACCATTCATCTCTGAGATAGTTTCTAACCAAAACAACAATTGTATTTTGGATTATAACAAATTCCAATGGCTGGGGCTCAGGTATAAAGGTCAGACCAAGGTCAGACCAACCCTGCTTTTTTACTTGAAAGCTTGATGTGGGGAGGAAGCTGTTGGTGCTCACTTTGAGTTTTTAAATGACAGGGACTGCAGCAGTCATCTTCCATGAACTATCCCAAGGTCAGAGTAGGTCAGTGGCCCAAGATGACCCAGATCATCATTTTGTTTTGGGAGCATCCTGCCTACCATTATCATTGACACTGATTCAAATGCAAAAATCAAAATATCATAGGATTTTGGGTCACCATCACCATCTATAGGTCAAGCAATGTCACTGACCTTAAATGAGCACCAGTGACATTATGCTTAAACCAGGCATCTTGGCTCTAGGCAGTTGCATGAAGAGGTGTGGATGTGCTTGGTACACCAATCTGGAGTTTGACCCTGTTTAATCTTATTTGACCTGAAGGTTATGACCTAGGAACCTCAATTTTGTACACAAGTTAGTTCATATACAGTCCAACATACCCTGTTAATTTTGTGTTTTTATCTTCAAGTTTATGAGATTTCAGGGGAGTCAGATTATCCCTACCCCCACCTACCACCCAACCAAGCAAAGGATATGTAACCAGCCACCCTGGCGCATGTTAAGGTCATGCAACTGATTATTTCTTTAAATGATGCCACTGGAATCTACCAAATTTTTTCCAGAATTGAGCTACATCTCCTTGGGTCAGAATCTTAGCTGAAAATCATAGGAGGATGCTTGGAGTCAGACTAAGAATCTACTGATGAGTTGTGGTCCCAAGTCAGATTGCCTTCCGCTGAAGCACAATCAAGCATATGTGCACTGTAGTGACACAACATGTTGGGGGTAAACTTATGATGGCTGAAGAAACCTTTATGACTTCATGCTCCCACCTGACCTCTTGCAACATAGAAGCTGACAGACATGAGGAGACTGCCAAGGATTTTGTTGGATTTGTGGTAGTTGCTTGATGTTGCAAATCACTCTGAGACCCAGGTTTTTTGTGCAAAAGGGCAGGAAAAGAACAAACTACATTAAGTTTTAAAAATACCAGTGTTGAGTTGAGATCGATAGGCAGTTTGTATTGTGAACTACCATTCAAGATCCATTTCAACATCTTTGTCCAAATGATCTGCCAGGAAGAGGGCTCCTTCACTGAAATCCATTTATGCTGAGATTCCATCTATTCATCTGTGGTGTAGCATCTGCACATTTGTCTACCGAACATTTATTTCCGAGACGACGTCAGGTATGTGGTGTGGGCTTTCCAGGAGGCGTTCCAGCGCTACCTGCAGAGCGTGCAGAACATCTGCGCGCTGCTGGCCGCCGGTGTCGCGTCCGGCGCCGACGTCGCCCAGATGATCGCCCTGGCCAGGCAGTGTCTGGACCGCGTGCAGCACATGGCAGACGCGCTCGGGGGAAACGCGGCCATCGCCAGAACAGGTGCGCGGGGTGCCGGTGGTGGCGCGCTGTTCGAAATCTGCGATGATTTGCGGTACTTTGGCTATTCAAGTACTCGCCAATACGGAATGATGTCTGGGGAGTCGATTCATTGTGGTCGCGTTTTTTTTGGACGGGCTTGATCAAATAGCGTTTTTTCTGGTGTCTTGCGAGAAAATGCTTTCGGCGACCTTCAGAAATAGATTTCTTCCAATCAGGTTTCTTATTCTGTACAGTTCGCCAAAAGAAATTTGTTAAGCACCCATTTAGTCATAGTAATAGGTTGAGGAAGATAATTTTAAGCCCTTTTTAGGGTTTAGTGCTCACCTCTGCAATCAGATTGCATTATTTCAAATGGCATAGGCAACAAAGCGCATATGCATGTATGTTACAGGGCAAGTTTAGAGTAACCCAATCCTTTCTCCATGCTGGGAATGGTACTTCTTCCCCCCCCCCTTCCCTCCTCATCCCAACATCCAGGCCTCACACGGTCTCATTGTGATGACGCGTGATGTATTCGCACTTCCAGGGGCAGGTTCATGAGCAAAAGGGAGGGAGTTTTGTCGTGCCGTCCGCGTGGGTCAAGCTTAAGAGGTTGTGGAAGTAATGTAATCATGCCAGTTTGGGCTATCACAATGTTCTGGCAGTGAAATGCGTGAAATTTGCCTAGCATGCTGAGATGTCAAAATTGCATATGCAGAGGCAGTTCCAGGGAAGCCGGTGAAGCGAAGATAAAACAAGATTTTGAGACCTTCTCTTGAGCCAGATGGTTAGTTTTTCTCTTGTTCTGCCCGTTGGCATGTGCACCGCCACTGATGCTATTTCGGGGGGGGGGGGGGGGCGGGGCTGAACGTGTATGAAGGAAAGCATTGTCAGACAGCATGGGCTGAAGCAAATGTTTCCATTCTCACTTTTTACGGCGGCTGTGGTTGTTACTATCATCGTTAATTTATTATTGCAACATTATTTTGGAAAAGCGCCGGCAGCGCACCGATTTAACAGCCCGTTGGAAGCCAGGGGGCCCGGTTCTGTTCGCCGTCGTTCCGCTTGAGTGAGGGGCAGGTGACGTCATATAGCCTAAACTGCTGAGTATGGCGTGAAGCCCCAATGACGCATTGGCATGACTTGGAATGTCGAGCGAAACGTAGCCAGGTTGGAATCAGGGGTGTTTCATAGCAAATGCATCTTTTTAATGGTGCGTCATGAGTGCGCATGAAGTCATATGCACGTTAAAGATATATCCGTGGATGACAACGGAAAGTCTTATGCACGTAAAACGTAAATCCGCGGATGGCAATGCTTGAACATTTTGATATGCATGGCTCCAGCCTTTCTCGTTTCCACTGGCCTCGGCTGCAGCTTTCGGGCAGCGCGCCAAAAGTTCCGCGCGCCGTGCAACGGTTTTGCAGCATCTCGCCATGGCGGATGCAGCATGTCATTTGCTGCGCGTGGGTGGCCGTTCATTCGTGTGCAGCATTTGCTGGTCACCGCACGTGGGTGGCCGTTCATCCGTGCGCAGCATTTGCTGGTCACCGCACGTGGGTGGCCGTTCATCCGTGCGCAGCATTTGCTGGTCACCGCACGTGGGTGGCCGTTCATCCGTGCGCAGCATTTGCTGGTCACCGCACGTGGGTGGCCGTTCATCCGTGTGCAGCATCCGCCAGCACGTCATCATTTGCACCTTCAGACGAAGGCCGACAATGGGAGAGAGGCGGGGCAGACGATGAGCTGCGGTGTTTATGATCGAAATGTCCCAGTGTTGGCTTGATTTATATCGTGCTATGGGATGGAATTATGATATTGATGTTTTCCTCTCAAATGTTTGAAAAGTATTCTGTCTTAAGAACACCCCGCGGAGAGGAGGAGGAGACGTTAAAAGGGAGCGTTAAGCAGTCACTTTGGCAGCTGATTTGTGTAAACCTGCACAGCATCTGGCCAGCAGATCTTGTGTGGCTACCGCACTGTCTGTTTTGTCTAGGATTCCTACTGAGGCTGTTGGCAAAACCTATGGACTGATGTGATCGTAACATTTTTCCAGCTTATAAACCATGCTAGGAATCACTGCCGCATTGCTAGCATTGCATTGGTAGGACCGAATAACTTGTGTTTTAAGTTCCCTTTTAAGCACTCCTGAGCGTGCTTCTGACGCTTCTTGTATGTTATAGGATAGTTGCATTTTTGATCGCGTTTTTACTTGAAGCCATTGCCAGGCAAGATTACCGGAGAAGTTCTAGAAGCAGTCAGCTGAAGATGACACTGTACCTCCTTAAACCTCCATTCCTGCACCTGCCAGTGCAAAACGGATGACGTGTGTTGTTTTTTAAGGTGTTTTTTGAATTGTCAAGCTGGTGCGGAATCCACTGCCCTTTGTAACATGTCTATGTCCACGAAACACGCGATATTACAACTTTCTAACCACACTTCATCCCTTCCCCAGTATTGCTTGGGCGATTTCTTGGAATTAACGTATAAGAATAAAGCAACTACGGTTGTCAAGTTAAGCCCCGGAACGACGAAGTCAGCCCAGTAGATCCGTCATCTTAGAAATGTGATCTTGACCCCACTCATGGAATCCCAAGCGGAAATCATCGCATGAAAATACAGTCAAAGGAACAGTTCAACATTTGAAGGCGTTGAAGGGAGTGTTTCACATTTAAGTGTGGTCTTGAACTGAAAGAACCATCTTGAGGACCTTTCGGTGCAGTTCATAGACCTGTCCTTAAGACCGAAGCCCCTCTAGCTTCTCAACGGTACGCCGGCGATTTTTTTTTGGGGGGGAGAGTATTTTAAGGTCACCAAGGCGATCATGATGCCACAATGACGTCACTCAAATTCTGGCATTTGATAAGCCATGCGACGTTCAAGGCTGAGAAAAAGAATATCGCAGACAAGCCGCACATATCTGGCATTCGTGAGCACGATTTCCAGATAAAACGAGTCAGTTGGCTCTCGATCAATGTGGTGCAAGGTGCGGTGGCATAATCAAACGACGTATTGAGGAGCATGTTCACTTAACAGGGGAATCTTGTTGTCTAGAGCAGTCTTTTAAGTGCAGAAACTGCTCTAAATGGCAAAATTTCACTACTTGGTAAATATTCTCTACGATATGTAATCGTTTGGCATCGCAATGGAACGTTTTTATGGGGCCACATGCGTTGCCAGAGTTGTGCGTTAGGTTTGCCGCTGTAGCGGACGCTGCGGCTTACTTGCATTACTTCCATGCGCCGCGAGGTAGCGTTGTTTTATTTAATAAATTAAATGCACTAGCGTTATGTGCGTGTACCTTGCCCCTTTCTAGTGGTTTTCTCGTATATTTTTCCGTGATGGTATGTTCCGTACTTGCGTTTGTATTCTCGGTCACGATGGTATTCGTAAATGATTCGATTCTCCGCCGCATGTCCGTCATATCCAGGAGTGGCCTAATTGCCTGTGTTATTGATCGCAAAATGCGGTCTGCGTTCGAATGGGAAGCGAAAGGTGACTATCTACCAATTGTCTTCTATAAGTGGAACATTTGGTGTTTGATTACCGCAAACACAAATGTTTTATCGAATTTTGTCTTGATCCCGAGTGCCATGCAGCTAATGAGGTGGAATATTTGCGTGATGTGTCTGATGTCATTGGTGTCTGGGTAACTTCAGGAAGGCAGCGCGTCATAGTCTGCACAAATTTGCACGCGTCAAGCGCGAAGCGAGATGGTTTGAAGTCTTGTCGGGAACATGACCCGAACTGCAGGGAATGATCATTAACCCGGTTATCTCAATTCAAAACCCCACACAACTGTGAAAGTTTCGACAAGTGAACACAGAACATGTAAATGCACCCGGTCCCAGCTTGCGGCACAACTGGCACTGATCGGCGCGGGAGCCCCGCCACACAACGCCATGGGCATGACGCCAACCTCCACACAAGTTATGGATACTTGCCCCCCCCCCCCTCCCGTGTCTACCGGTGACTCAAGTAAGTGGTGGACAAACGAACGAGGACTTGGAATCTGCATCATACACGCTCATGGTGTGTGTTTGCGATCGTCATGAAAGCCGAGCACTCTGTCTGCATCGCCGAGTATTCAGAACCCGCCACTGTCCGTGGCGTCTGCGTGTGGCACTGTTCTATCTCCGCCGCGCCTCGGCACGAGTCCGTGCTGGGACGACGGCGCGTGGCGGCCGTCTGTATATCCGGGGCGCGGCACCGAGCGGCCAGCCCGGTCGCCTCCCGCGCCGCGGAGGCCGCCGTGGCCCGCGCGCCGCCGCACCGCCCGGCCTCCCGCTGCCAGACGGCCGGCGCTCAGGGCGACCACGTGACGTGTCGGACGGCAGCTGCGACGGCCCGCTGCCCGCGCGCGCTTCCTGTGGCGATTGCGACCGCAGTGTGGTGATGGTGCTGAAGTGACCGCAGTGTGGTGGTGGTGCTGAAGTGACCGCAGTGTGGGGGTGGTGCCGAAGTGACCTCAGTGTGGTGGTGGTGCTGAAGTGACCGCAGTGTGGTGATGGTGCTGAAGTGGCATCGGTGCGACACGGACGCAATGCCATTCTCGGTGGCGTCATTGCGGCTGGCTCTTTCGGGGAAAGGTGATATGGCATGCACAGTGATATTCATATGAGTGCCCGCCCGTGTTTGCGCTTATTTCTAAAAAGTTGTCGACTAGTCGGCTGGCTGGCTAGCCGCCGACCGAGCGGCAACGCGCAGGGAGCCATTAGCTAACCCGACTAGCCGGCTGAGGGGTTTGATCTGTCACAAAATGCATGCGTACGGTTCGAGCTGGGAATTTTGTAGGCATATAGATACACTCCGATACCCTATAACCACGAGTGCAGATTCCTTCAGGGGTTCAATGGTATCCAGATATTTTAGCTGTCGGGGTTTTTTCGCGACACCAAGGCACGTTAGCGCAATCCTTTAGGTTTTTCAGCGACACATTCACTGTGACGTGATTAAAGCACATTTGCGCAATCCTTTGTACCAGAAGAATATTACTTACTGCAACCGTGTCAAGTTTGAAATTCAATCGGATATAAAGACGGAGAATTAGGAACCATTTGTTGAACTTAAAGAGGTCAAAATGTTATGATTTCTGATGGCAGTTTTCCAGCATTAACTCTTTCCAAAGACTAGTGGGATGCAGGGGTGTTAATTTTCTGAAGTCGGTTGTGAACTTACTTATCTGAACTTACACGGAATTTTTAGCCGTAGATATGTCGGCAACTGGAATAACAGGATGGGTATAGGCTGGTGATGGTTAACAGACGACTGTCTCAAAGAAATAGAGCAACCCGCGCTTTGTTGTGAATTCCTTGTTGCTTAGTCTAATATACTCGCGATTATTTCATGCCATCCGCATACAAATGGTCATGGACTTGTGATACCGTCCCGTGCTATTTCAGAAAAAAATCATTTTATGATATGCCTGCTGTGATTGCGTGAGAACACTTAACAACTAAGCGACGAGCGTTCGGCCCTGCCTCACGATCGCAGCTGGACTCAGCTGATTTGCCAGAGTCAGTGTCTGATCAAGCCCGGGAGATGCGTCTTTGTATGCGGAAACGGACCACCGAAGACCGGCTTTCGCTATCGCGATACGCCATTACGGAACATTCTGGAGACAGCCGATCCCCGGAACGACGGTCCGCGTCCACGGCCGTGTCGAGTGTCTTCCTCCCCCTTCGACCCGGCGGCTGGTGCCGGACCATGCCCGCCAGGCCCGGAAGTGAGGCCCGGCCGGGGCCAGATCCCCGGGACGACGGCCACGTGATCGGGGCGCCGCGCTGTCAGGCCAGCGGCGGAAGGATGAGCGTGGCCACATGGGTCTGGGCGTGTCCTGGACAGCGGACAGTCCGTAAATAGAGTAGTAAGATGTATGCCTTGTGTGGCATTGGAAGAACAGGCTCGCGGCCGATTTTCGGCGGGCTTATTTTGTATAAGCAGAGCCGTCAGCGATAGAGCTGATGCCGCTCTGGTGAATTTGCGGGATCAGATTGGTGCGTGGGGTTAGTTCCGATTCAGGATATGAGCAGCACGGCAAGATTTTGGGCTTCTCCAGTTGCGGTTTGCACAAAATATTCATACATACATACATGCATACAAAAAATATGTATTCGGTATTTGCTATGGATTCTACCTAGATTCAGCGAAAACTCGGCCCATTCCGCTGTCGATTCCAAATCCATTCGCAGTCCTCCACCAATCAGTGGTCGAGCACGATGCTGACCTGGGTGATGTGTAATGCGAGACCGCGTAAACGGCGTCCGCGTGTGACAAAGCGCGTCTTGGATCCAATAACACGTGCCAGACGCAGTCGGACAACCCTCGCGTGTGCGATAGGCGCGGCGATAGCAGACAGAGAGCTGTGGGTTGTAATTATTTGAACAAAGGTGCTGCAAGTTATATCCTTCTTGGACATGTGATGAGGGATATCAATGTAACCTCTGTGCGCGGGGCTGCAAAAAACATTGTTTGCAAACGGACCAACCATGGACCTTGTCAGGGGTAGTAATCTCAATCGAGGAGATCGATAGCTTTGTAGTGATTCATAGCTCGGACAATCGTGTCCAAAACATCGTAAATAATGTAAACAATTGGGCGGGATATTCGATCACCATAAGCAGCACTCAACGCCAGTACATTTCTTATGATTCTCACCAGGTTCCAGCCACAGTACCGCGTTTTCATGATCGGTTTAGAGATGACGATATTGACTGCTTGCCGATCGCTTTCTGGTAAGCGTTTTGAGGACAGACAGATTTGAGATCTGTTGGCAGGTTGTGGCTGGTCCATTCACCTTTACTGTGCCGTTTGTTGCGCGTATTCGTCTGCTCTTGATTGATGGGATCTGACATGAGTCTTAAAAACGCCCCAAATCGGGTGGATACGTGGCTTGAGCCCGAAAGCAGGTGGTAGTCTGCACAGCCTTTTAAGTTCAAGTAAGAAGGGCTTAATGCTAGGTTATCTGTCCCCGGCTTTGCTCGTAATGAGTCATTACCGCCCATGTTTCAACGGTAGTGCGTCACTGGGGTTGGCACTTTGCGGAATTAATGGGGAGTGGCGACGTTTGAGCTCGATAGATAGTGAAACAAACAGTCCTTAGCGTGATGCACTTTCACACTAATCATCGTCTTTGAGGTACTTTAATTTATCGGCCCACCAACACATGGTAGACGTTGTATCGGCAATAGCGTTCAATATTGCGCACAAAACAGTTTCCCTCCAACCTCACGTAAAGGTAACACTGTTGTGAATGAAAACTACACAATGTTCTTGTGGTCAGCGGTCGTGTGCCCCACGTTTACTCTGGGCTTCCAAGGGTTCATTCATGCGTGCAAACTACAGTTGGAAAACGTCTTTCAAATATGTCGAGGCCCATTTATGTAATCGATTCTCTAGGATGTACTTAACAGGTGTGCACTTCTACCAAATTCAAGCTTCTAACAGCTGTTATTGTTAGCGCGGCGCGGTCACGATGGTATTGCGCGCCAGTATTTTTCCACATTGCGTACGTTAGCTCCGATTGTCGATTCGAAGTTTGCATGTGGATAGTATTGGTGCAGCCGGGACAGTTTGGGGTAGGAGCCTATGTACCCAGATGGTGCCCAGGACCAGGCATCGCAGGATTATTAGGGCGGGAGCGAACGGCGTCAGGCCGGTGAATGATAGTTATTGAATGCGTTTTCGTGTCAGTATATGCGCAGTATTATTTGACTCTAGCTGAAGTAGCCGTGGGTATTGTCATAAGGGGATAGGAAGCTTGGCTTTCCATGATTAATGCCGTTTTTAATGCCGAATTCGGTGGTAATTGCTTTTAAATGCTTTTTTCCCCGGGAAATGGCTTCATCCGCACGAAGTAACGTTCCAGATTGTGGGTTAATGTCACGGCGGGATTTCTACAACACCACTTGACGCGTTGCTGTACATCTCCAACACACGCAGCTCAACGCGTCTGGCGCCTAAAAACCAGACCTTTCTGGTTATCGCATTACTGAGATGCACTTTCCTGGGACCGTTGGGTACAGAAATACGTCATTTGCTCGTAAGTTGATGGCATGGTTAGTGGTTTGCTCTTAAATGAATGAAGTTAAGTGACTCGCAATGTAGTATTGCACAGTAGACTTAATGCAGTATTGACCTGCGTTTACAATTATTAAGCGCTTCCGGCGTTCAACGCTATTACCAAGAGAGTGAATTTCATGAACCAGTGGCGTAGCTTTAGCAGTACTTGGATTATTTGCAGCTGAAAAACATGCAAACGGCTTCACTTCATTATTTTTTTTTGGGGGGGGGGTGTGGCACAATTCGTTTAAGCCCATTAGGTAGTGGACAGTCGTTTCGCGGGTCAAAAGGTTCCAACGTTGGTGCGCGCGTAACGTCGACTGATGTAGTCTACATACTAAAACATATAAATTGTTACGACATGAACGGCCACGTATGGCGCGCACGTCTTAAAACTCCCGTTGATGTTGTAATTCTGGGACTTCCATGAGCGTCCGGCAAAGGGCCCCACATGGCAAAGCGTTTGGCGGCCTGCATGACGACCTGCCATGTAGTCCGCCAAACGCTAGCTAATGCCTGCCTGTTCATTAGACCACTGTTCATGAACAGCGGCCGCGCGGCGTCGCCCCAGTGGAACCCAGCCGGGTCTGCCGCCGATTGTTGATGCTTGTGCCGGGGCCCGACGTGCACCGCGCCGTCCTGGAATGTCTGCCGGTTACTGCCCGCTGCCGGCCCAGGGGGGCCCGGCGGCCGAGCAGCCGATGATGGAGCGGTCGGTCCAGATGTCGCTCGACACGGCGGTGGCTGTCGCGCCGCCGCCGAGCGCGGCCTGGTGCGACAGGCGCGACCCCAGCTCATTCGGCTGCTCGCGGCGGTGTTTTGCCGGCAGGAACCACAGCGGGTGATCAGCTCGAGAGCTTCCAGCCCTGAGCGGCGCTATAGATGGCGGTGAGGAGTCTGACCCGAGAGGTCCTGACCCGCCGTGGCCTGGCCGGACCTGACGACCTAATCTGTCTCCAGGCACAACAGCTGACGCTAGGGTGGCGTTTCCGGTAGCTGGGACGGTTTCACGCAGCCTGATCTGCCGTGACTTGGCCACGCGCCGAGCCGCAGCGGGGCCCGGCTGGACAGACGTCAAGGGCGCTGGGACCTGACCGGGCCGGACCTCTCCTCACCGGGTCTGGCCTCGCCCGCAGCGCCGCTGGAGGAGGAGGAGGCGCTGCAGGGGCGAGAGCAGCGGCTGCCTGGCCCGCTCGGCAACGGCGGACTCGACGCCGAGTCAGCCTGGAGCACGTACCGGGCCGCCTCGCTCTGCGAGCCCTCGGCGCCGGCGCTGTGCAGCGACACCGAGTCGGACTCGGTCGAGGACAACTGTTCGGCGGCGCCGGGCCTCTACGGCGAAGCGGTCGACTCGGACGAGTGCCACTCGATCGAGGACAACGCGCAGGTGCTCGCGTCCGGCGCCGAGGCGGGGCTGGATGCTCCTTCCCAGGTGATGCTCGTCCCGAATGTGTGCGCAACGAGCCATCTTCAGTAGCTTAGCTAATAGCTTAGCTAAAAGCGTGACAATGTCGCAGCGTTGGGCCTTTGTCTAGGCTCGGGGCGGTCGCACGCTGCGGATTGATGGTGCAGCGGTGGCGCGGCCCGTGGTATGTGCTCAGCTCGGTGGCACCCGCCTGGCGTCATTGTGTGTGATGTGTTAGCGCAGTCCGCTCGTCCCAACCTGCGTGGCCTGGCGTCCGTTTGGATTTGGCAACCGATGGGGCCGTCGCTCGATGTGCCGGGTTCCGTACACTTTGCAAGTGAAGCGCGCGCGCTTGCCATCCAAGGCCAGCGACTCGGTTGCCATGGCGATGACTTGTGGCACCGCGACTCGGTAGATGCGGGCAAGGGAAGGATTCAGGCATGTGAGCGATTTGGACGCATCACGGGAAGCAAAACTCTGTGGTTTATAGCTGATGAAATGTCTGCTCTAGCCTGAAGCGACACTGAGATGTGCCAGGTGTCCTCAGCTCTCATTTCCGTGGTGCCCGTCCTTCCTACCAGGGTGGAAGGCAGGCGACGCTAATGGCCTCAGCAACTGAGTGCGCCGTAAGGCCCCAATAACACACACTTAGCTTTCATTTAAGTCTTCGCATGTTTTTGCGTACCATGTAAGCACTCTCCTTCCTCAGTAAAGTCTTAAGAATGGCACTCATGTCAATGACTTTTCATGACATGTCAATGGCAGTCAATGACATTTCATGTTATCGAGGGTTTTTGCTGGCGAAGACGGCGCCAACGAATCCACTGGTGGATTGGCGTCCCCCAGACGTTTGCAGGGGCGAATCCCAGCCTTCCCAGTGAGCACTCGATTGACGATAAGATGCGTCCTTTTGCCCGGTGACGCACAACAAACAGACAAATGAACAGAGCCCGTCGGGGGTTCGCTGAACATGTCCGGTCTGTGGTGCCGGCCGGCCGGGGCTCTGTTTGGCCTCGCGCGCCGCCGTTCCTGGTTCCGCCTGCCGGCCCGGCCGCCGCGTGACGCGGCGGGGCTGGCGGCTGTGTGACGCGACCGTATCGACCGGTCTCTCGGCCGCGCCGCACAGGTGTCCGTCTCGGGCCGGACGTCAGTCTGGTGTCTGTGCGTGGCCCCGTCGGCCGCCTTCTCCACCCGCTCTACCCGCTCCGCCCGCTCCGCCCGCTCCGCCCGCGCGCCTCCCGCCGGAGAGCCGAGCTCTGACCACGCACGGACCGGCGTCGACGCCGAGCGCTGCGCCGCCGGGCCGCGACCGGACGCGGAGCGAGGGGTGTGCGCGCCCTGCGCCGTCGGCAGCGACCCACCGCAGTACCCGAGTCGCCAGCAGGCCCCCATCTCGCGCAGGCGGCGGGTGGCGGACCCGCAGGTGCCGTCCTCTCCGTATGCCCCCCCCCCCCCCGGACCGCGCACGTGCTGACGACCGTCACCTCGTCCGGCAGCGGGACCCGTCTTCGGCGGAGAACGGCGAGCTCGACGGCGGCTACTTCGCAGCAGATATCGTACATCAGCGCGTACCCATCACGAGCCCAGTCGGTAAGCGCGCCCGGACACCAACACCATGGTGCTTATTAACAGGCCACTTGATGGGTCGTGGGCAACCCGCCAGCTCTGGGTGCCCTCAGCTCGGTCTGTCAGTGTGACGAAAACGGGAGAAATGGAGAGGGCTGGCGACTGGCACGGGGGTTACTTGGAAGGGGCGAAGTTTTGGGCAGACAGCGAATCTCATGTTAAAACAACAACAAAAATGTTAAAACAAGAAGTGTATTTTATCGACAACACTGGAAGAGAATTTACAGACTAAATCTCTTTTTGGAAATGTGATGGGGTAAGTTGTTTTTTTGACTGCTTCTCCTGCACCGCGTTTTCGCGTCCCCCGCGCGACACTGTCGCAGCAGTGTTGGGCCAGAGCGGGAGCACCGGCGGCCGCCTGCTACATGACCCCATTCCCCAACCCAGTCTGCTAGCACACCTCGTGTGTATCCTTTTGAAGGGCTGTATTAAGCCCCCCGTGAGCGTCGCGCCGGGGCCGCAGCGCGGTCCGCGCGGCGGCGACCCCGACTTCGGGTCGGCGTTCGGCGGCCGGCGTGCCCGCAACACCTGGGATCGATACGGTCGTCTCGCTGAGTCACACCGGTGCGTGTCGGCGCGTGCTCCGCCGTCCCGCGGCTGTCGGAGAGCGGGTCAAAAACATCGGATGCTGTCCACCGGCGCGGTTTGGAGCGCGGCGCCAGCTGGGAGAGCCGAGGACGGCCGGTCTGTGTCTGAGCTGCAGCCGGCCGCCGGCGGGCCGTGTTCACCTGTACGGCAGCCTGGCCGTCACAGGGTCGCTCAGGACGCGATGTACCCCGTGGCTGCCGGCGGACACCAGCTGGGAGCGGCGACTTGGCGTGCCCGCTGACTGCACGCGTGCATCATGGCTGTCCCGTGTCGTGCCATGCCGTTCGACCCCGATGTCCATTACGTCACACCGTCAGCAGCTCGTGAGATCGGCAGCAATACAGACGAGTTCGGGCGGCTGATGGGACCGGCCGCGGCCCGTCTCCGAGCCCCAGTGACGCGCTCCGCTGGCCGCCAGACGAGCTGGACCCGGCCGAGGAGCAGTCGCCGCTGGAGGCGGCCCGCCGCGAGAATGAGCGCCTGCTGGCCACCTATCCGGCCCGCATACAGCGGAGTCCGCTGCACGTGCAGCACAACCTCAGGTGAGCGCGCGGCGGGGCGTGGCCTCTGGGCACTAGCCCGAGGCGAGACGGCGTGTTTGGAGTCGCTGCGCGTGGCTTACGATTCGCTGGGTAGGAAATTCACCTCAGTGTGACAGTCTTTCTTGTGGGTGCCGGTGGTGTAGTGGTTAACGCGTTTACGTTAAGCGCTGCGCGTCCTGGAAACCAGAGGTACAGGGTTCGATTCCTCGCGGTGCCCGCCCTTCCTGCCAGGGTGAGAGGCAGGCGACGCCATATAGCCCCAGCAGCTGAGTGCGTCTTAAAGCCCCAATGGCGACGACGACGACGACAGGTGTTTCTCACCTCACACATCGGGTCACTACACGGCCCTCGTAATGACGTCAGGCGGGTCAGGTTCGCGCCCCCTGCCTGCGCTTACAGCACAGGCCGAGTCCGAGCGTCTCTAATGACGCATACTGACGCGCGTGACGCCAGTGACTGTGCCCCGGAGCCGATCCGTGACTGCCGCCGCCCGCCGGCAGGCTGGAGCTGCAGCGAAGGCTGACCGAGAACCGTCAGATTGCTGTCATGAAGCAACAAGCCTGGCTCAAGAGGCGGGACGAGGCCCGGCAGCACCACGTGCAGATCGCCAAACGGTGAGGCCCGCCGGCTGACTGGAGGCGTGTGGCGCAGAGTCGCGGGGCGCGGCGCTCAGTCACGTGGCGGGCGCCCCGGCGCGCGTCACGGCACGTGCGGCGCCGAGGGCGTGGCTGCTGGTCCGGTCCTTGTCGGTGGCGCGCATGTTTTGGCATCGTGGTGTCAGGAGGTGCCGGTACTGCGAGCGCGTCGCTGCGGTCGATAGCTGGTATCTGTGTACTCTGCCCGCTCCCCCCCCCCCCCCCCATCCTCCCGTCCACCCGCTCTCAGCATGTCGGCCGAGCACGAAACTGTGACTCAGCCGCGTAGTCAGTTTCAAGTACGGCGCAGCTGCCATGGGAGTTGTGGCGACGTGTTATCTCTGGACAAGGCTGTGAAGAGATCGGTCTAGAAGTCTGTGAAGAGACCAGCCCAGAGAGATGCCCCAGAGAGTTGGGTGTTGCACTTCTGGAGGGCTCCAGTGGTGTGTTTCGGGCATCCATTTGGACCGGGCACTTCTCCCAATATGATTGTTGATCGACGCCACTTCAAATCTCCGTCTCCTCCTCCGGCAGCGTGTTCAGCGTGGCGGAGGGCAGCGTGGCCACGCCGGAGGACCTGCAGAAGCAGACGGCGTTCGCGGACATCCTGCAGTTTGAGCAGACGCGCGCCTGGACCAAGCAGCTGCACCACAGCCTGGACGAGGCACCGGACGACCCGCGGGCCGTCGAAAACGCCCTGCTGCACATGTTCCTCGAGAAGTCGCACCCGCTCTCCAAGCTGCGCCAGCGGCTGCAGTACTCGCTCTTCTGCAAGATCAACCCGCTGGTGGAGCAGCACGCCCACCTGCTGGAGACGGTGCAGGTGCCCCTGCGGGGCGCGGCGGCCGGCCGGCGCGCCGATCCGGACTCGCGCCAGCAGGCGGACGCGGCGCGGCAGGTCCGGGAGACTCCCGGGCCGGGCAAGGAGGCCGCCGGCGACGGTGACGCCGCGCGACGCGTGCCGAAAGGTCACCCGGAGGAGGCGCCGGAGCGGGCGAGCCGTGCTAGCGAACTCCCTGGAGGCGGGGAGGAGGCGGCGTCGGGACGGACCGAGGCCGACACGCTGCTCTGGCCGTCGCTGCCCGCACTAGACGACAGCGACGAGTGTCCGCAGCAAACCGAGGCCTTTCGTCGACACCTGTGGAACGTCGTGTCCGGTAGGTGCCGCCGTGCTGGGCCTGGGACGCAGCGGCTGGCCGGGGCCGGGTGGGTGGATAGTCCGGCGGCGCGTGTCGACAGGTGGTGGCTGCCACTTGCGTAAGTGATTGTGTGGTAACATGCCCAGTAGCCACGTGCAATGTTGCGACTGGCCTGCCGTGGCGTGGCATTCGTGCCGGCCCCAGTGGTGCGGGATACTCGCGCTCAGTGTGTGACGAGGAAGTGTGGCCTCCGACGCGGCTTCGCTGGAGTCTGAGGCGCGGCGTGTGCGGTCCGCGGGCGCCGAGTGAGTGCTGACGCCCGGCCCCGTCCGTTCCGGCAGAGACGCAGGAGGGTGTGCGGCTGCTGGTGGCGCTGGCGGCTGCTGTGCACCCGGCGCTGGCGCCGCCGCTCAGCCGGCCGGTCGTGCAGCGGCTGCTGTTCACGCCGCTCTGGCCGCACCTGCTCGTGCTGTTGCGGCTGGCCCACCTGCCGCAGGAGCGGCGGCTGGCGGCGGCGCTGGCGCGGCTGCGCGCCGCCGGTGAACGGCCGCCGGACGCCGACAGCCGCCGCCTGCTGCGCCGCATGCTGCTGGCCTCCAGCCCGGCCGAAAAGTGCCGGCTGCTGGTGGAGCTGGTGCAGGTGCTGTGCAGCACGCCCGACGGGCCGGGTGGCGCCGACCTGCTGCTGCCGCGGCTGACGGCGCTGCTGGTGCACTCTGGTGCGCCGCAGATGCTCTCCGAGATGCACTTCATCTCCGAGTTCACGGCCGACGGCGAGCTGCAGGGCGACCAGAGCTACTGCCTGACCTCGCTGCAAACGGTGCTGCTGTACCTGTCCGAGCAGTAGTGGCCGCCCGGTTAAGCGCGGAGTGGCCAGCCCGCCCCGGGGGAGCGCGAGTGGCGGACCGTGCCGGATCTCCCCACCAGCGCGCTGCTCTGACGGGCTCACCGGGAGCCCTTGGGGATCTACTGAGAGCTGCACCCATCGCTGTGCGCCTGATTCAGTGCTGCAGTCGTGTTTTTGACGACTTTTGCGCGGCCACCTCACTCGTCGCGGGTTACGTCATGGACGTAGCTGTGTGCAACATCGTGCTTTTATGCTGGGCTTTCACGCGATTTGCAGTTGTGCGTAAGCTGCATTATCACTGAAGACGGTTTTCGCACGTTGAATATTCTCTACAATATATGAAGCCGCAGCTGACTGGATTGTGGACCGGCGAAGCCATCAGCCCCCCAAATGGCAGACCTCGGTTCAGCGCAAACATCAGTTCTCGTCCGGAGAGGCCGCGTCAGTTACGTCACCTCTCACGACTCCTGCACCGCGTCCGCTATGTATTGCATTTAGGTTATAAAATGACAGTCTGTCATCTCAGTCGATTGCGAGATACCTGACACGTGACTCCGCGAGCGGCTCGGTGCCGGCGCGGGCCGGCCGAGTTGCGGGCGGCCGACCGGCGGACGCCGCTCCCGCGCGGGCCGGCTACGACGAAGGCACACACCACACACGCCACTCACCACACGCTACACACGGAGTATGCAAACCGGCGGACGGTGGCGCCGTCGCCGTCGGGGGGGGGGGGGGAGGCCGGCGGGGCCCCGAGTGACCTGCGGCCAAAGCCGGCCCCGCCGGTGGCTACCAGCCCCGCCTCGCGCTCCAGCCTCTCCGCTCACTCGACGCGCACCTTGAACACTGGCGAGATCTTCTGCGCCATGGCGTACAGCTGGTGGAAGTTCTGCACGGCCAGGTAGACGAGGCCGAGGTAGGCAGCGATGGCGGCCGTGGCGGCCAGGTCGAACACGGCCGGCTTCACCTGGTAGGCGGTCACCTGCCCGCGCGTGGCGTCGTACAGCACCCAGTCGGGCTGGCGACGGTCGGCGCTCAGCGACGACACGCGCACGTCGTGCAGGTCCCTGTAGCGGCGCCCCCAGCCACCCGGTTAGAGCGACGGCGAGCGCAGGGGGCATGTGACGTACGCGGCAGGACCGGGCGGAACGTCACACTATCAACATAGGCTGACCTGACCGGTGGTATCCTTGACACGGAAAGAGGTGCCGACTTAAAAATTCACAAAGAACAACGCGGGAATAAAAGTGCGCAAACTGGGACCGGTCGTAGAAAACAAAGAACATAGCTCGATTGCGCTTCTGGACAGCCTCGACGCCGAGACTCCGTGTGCCGGAGGATCAGGTCGGATCAGGCGATCAGTTGATCAGACGAGCGTCACTGCCGATCGTCTGTGGCAGCGACCGGGAGCGGGGTCACGGCTGTGACCGGGAGCGGGGTCATGGCTGTGACCGGGAGCGGGGTCACGGCTGTGTCCGGGCGCGGGATCACGGATGTTACCGGGCGCGGGGTCACGGTTGTGACCGGGCGCGGGGTCACGGCTGTGACCGGGCGGGGTCATGGTTGTGACCGGGCGGGGTCACGGTTGTGACCGGGCGCGGGGTTACGGCTGTGACCGGGCGGGGCCACGGTTGTGACCGGGCGCGGGGTCACGGTTGTGACCGGGAGCGGGGTCACGGCTGTGACCGGGAGCGGGGTCACGGCTGTGTCCGGGCGCGGGATCACGGATGTTACCGGGCGCGGGGTCACGGTTGTGACCGGGCGCGGGGTCACGGCTGTGACCGGGCGGGGTCATGGTTGTGACCGGGCGGGGTCACGGTTGTGACCGGGAGCGGGGTCACGGCTGTGTCCGGGCGCGGGATCACGGATGTTACCGGGCGCGGGGTCACGGTTGTGACCGGGCGCGGGGTCACGGCTGTGACCGGGCGGGGTCCATGGTTGTGGACCGGGCGGGGTCACGGTTGTGACCGGGCGCGGGGTTACGGCTGTGACCGGGCGGGGCCACGGTTGTGACCGGGCGCGGGGTCACGGTTGTGACCGGGAGCGGGGTCACGGCTGTGACCGGGAGCGGGAGTGAGGTTCACCTCTGTAGGGCGGCCTTGAGACTGGCCACCACGTGGTGGGAGGCGTCGGTGAGCAGCTGGGCCGGCCGCGGTACCGACGTCAGGTAGTCAAGCCAGCCGCGCACCGCCTCTTCCGAGACGGCCTGCAACAGAAAACGAGGGAGGGTTCCTCAGCGCCCCCCTGGCCAGCACGCGCTGCCCACACCGGGTCCCTGCTGCGGCCCGACATCGGCTCTGTATTTCCCAACAGTTTGTTAAATTGATATTCTAAATCTCGGTAGGGGAGAATTGACAACGTTTGTCATCCCACATGCTGTCTGTGTCAATACCAAATGACAGTGGGCGTATCACTCCAAAAGAAAATAATTCAAATAACACGTGCAGCAGCACTGCTTCGGTACATGTAGGGTCCGACATTGAGTCATATACTGCAATTCATATTTCGATTCGAACGTACCACTGTCGGGTGGAGAAAATATGACACCCGTAGACTGTTGCACACTGCACCGAAAACGAGCATCCAAATATCCGACCTCAGACAAGCGACCAACCAGTACTCTTTCCAGCCATCACGTTCACAAGCCCTCGCGGACACCGCATTAGCCACGTGGGTGATGGCAAGACCGCCAGCACACATCCGAGCTGACGACAACTCAAACTGTTGACCACCGAGCGCGGTCCCGCGAGGTTCGCCGCGCGTGCTCACCATCTCGTCAGTGAAGAGGAGCGGCGGCGCGGCGGCGTGCGGCGGCGCGCGCAGGTCGAACATGACGCGCGCCAGCGCCTCAGCCACCACGCGCGTGTTGCGCACCAGCCGCGCCTCGTCCAGCGCCGGCCGCGTGTCGAGCAGCGAGCGCAGCGACGGGTCCCAGGCGGCCTGGCGGCGCCGGCGCCGTCAGCACACGGCGGCGGGGGTGGCGGCGTCACGCCACAATCCGGCCACAGCTGGCTCTGATCGCTCCCAGGGCCGGGGCGGGACTGCCCTCGCGCGGGCGCCGGCCCCACACTGGGGCCGACTCACGGATAACGCGCACTCTGCACAGTTTCCTACGCTAGCGTAATTCCAGGGCTCCCGAACAGGCTACAGCACCACCACAAAAATGGGCAGCTGGAATGACTGTTGAGCATCACATTCACAACATTGGTCTTTATTAAAGCGATGGTCAATTGTTATGCCTGAGCCAACGCACGCCTGAGCCGCCTCATCTACTCCTAGCCAATCACTTTTGTTCCCTTCCGTGCCTGCCACGCGACCTGACCGGCGCCGCCCGGCGGTCGACCCACCTGGTAGTGCGAGAGTGTGAAGGCCGGCAGTCGGCGCATGCTGAACTGCTCGTGCTCCCAGGCGAGCGTGCGGTCGCCCAGGTTGATCTTCTTGTGCACCATGCTGACGTTCAGGCCGGGCGCAACGTCAGCGGCGGCCGAGCGCAGCGCCTGCGGGCGGCGGGGTCGGCGTCACGCGCCGAGCAGACGGCCGCTGTGGGCGCCGGCTGCCCGGCCAGCGCCGAGCTCGGCGGCCGCGGCGTCAAGGACGGCTCACGCTCACACGACTGTCGCAGCGGCCGGCGGAGGGCGCGGCGGGACTGAGCCGCGGCCGCCGCTCAGCCGCTGAGGCAAGTCAGCTACCCTCTGACCAATCGATCCGGTCAGTCGCGTCACGAGTCCAGTGACGCCTCTCCGCAGACAATACTCAGGAGCGGGCGGGGCAGCTCAGGAGCGGGCGGGACAGCTCAGGAGCAGACCAGCTCAGGAGCGGGCGGGGCAGCTCAGGAGCGGAACAACAGCACGGGCGACGGAGCGGCCGCGCTGCGAGCACACCGGCGACGCGAGCCGTACCTGGAAGAATTTGTCGCCCGAGCTGTCCGGCTTCGGCGGCTTCGACACGTGCAGGCTGAGCGAGTCGCCTTGCGCCAGGCTGTCCAGGCACAGCACGAACTGCACGCCCTGCCGAACGGACCGTACCGAGTCATCACATCACCCAGCGTGAGCCGTGCAAAGTGTGCACGAGCCAGGTCCGGCGGAGTGGAGCGTGCGACAACGGGCGACGTTTCCCGAGCAACGGAAGGGTTCATAGCGCCGCCACACGGCGTTTCACACGTTTGCGGGCCGGTCCTCATGGGCCGACCGCAACATCCGCTCGCGCCACGTGCCGAGCGCTCTTCCGCACCGCAAAACCACGGCCGTTCGCCATCCGCTCCGGGGAGCAAGGGCAGCCTGTATCAGAGAGCAGACGGACTGGCCAGGGCGCCAGAGTCCGCGTCACGACAGCGGAACGGGGAGAGCGCGTGAGTACCCGGGCGTCCATCCCGCCTCCTGCCCCGGCCCGGCAGCGGCACGGGTCGGCCCAGCAGGCGTCCCCGCCCCCACCTGCGAGGCGGCCGTCTCCAGGCTGTCGCCGTGCTCGTCCAGCCAGTGCCGGCTGCCGGCGTAGTTCAGCTTGCCGGCCGCCGTCAGCAGCAGCACCAGGTTGAGCCGTGGGTGCGTGCTGCGGCTGCGGTACAGCTTGCTGAGCAGACGCGACAGCTCCAGCAGCATCGTCACGCCCGAGCCGTTCGAGTCGGCGCCCATCGAAAGCTCCTGGGGTAAGGTAGGCGCAGCATGACGCAGCGCGCGCGTTTGGCATGCCACCGACAGGCCGCGACAGTGTTGGCAGCGTCTGATGCACTGCGTGCAGACAGGCACGAGCGACACAAACACACATTCCTAATTCTGTGCACCTAGACTCGTCCTTTCTGAAGCGTACGCCACAGTTGTTAGCCCGAAGCCGACCACCTCGTGCCTGCCCGCCCCGCGCCCTTCGCGTCCCCGCGTGCCGCGCAGCCCGGGACGTCACGCAGCCTTGGGCCGCGACCCGCTTGTCGACAGCAGCGCCGCCGCCACTGACCGGCGCGGCGGCCATGGCGTCGTAGTGGGCCACCAGCAGCACGGTGGGCAGCTGCT